CTCACATGTGGCTACGTATATGAATATACTTACCTTGTCATACTCACACAATGACACTATATTCATACATGCACTTTTCCAGCACCTTCTAGTGATGATCTGGTTTTCATTTGTCTTGATGAAGCGATGATTAGCTGTAAGGATTCCTCACGTCATGATGGGGATAAAATCGAACCCAATTTCTAGCTGTAATTAAAACTATTCCCAGAGCGGACTGCTGGAAGGCCACAACTTTAAGAGGTCAATAGAAGACAGGTTTCCAATAGCAGTCTAATTCAATCAGTCTAGGTTGTATAGTGTATGTTAAGGATCGGGGGTGATTCGTTAACACCCGCATACATGGAGCGTACATTTGCAGTAGATCCAGCATGTATATACAGTCTCACCTGTGGGCCTGGCTACACATCTGTAATGGACCATCGGCATTACAGTATGTCAGTGACTGCTGTGCGTTTAATTTGAACTAACAATGTCTCTAAAATTGTGGTCTTTACCGCATTTAATGCTAATTATATAACTGTTTTGTTCTGTGTTCACATTATCTTTTGTCTGCTGAGTTTAATGAACCAAAAGCATCCAAGGACCTCTGTTTCCCTCAATTCCCATAAAGAGAATTTCAGAGATCTTAGAGTTTAAACACTATGTATATATGCCCCCTTAGAAACAGCTGCTCCACGGCATTTGTGTGTCAAAATTATCCAGCTGTCCTTACATCAAGGGTCACACTCGAGTAGTGTACACAATATCTGTCGGTCGAAAATATTAATTACAAAAGACAAAGAGTTAAAGAGGGCAGAATCCCCCCCAAAATTGCACTTTTTGGCTGAAATATGCTATTTTTGAATTTTTAAACTGCTCTCATCACCAATAATGATAGTTCTCACTGTCGTCATTAAGTTAAATCCATCACACAGTGTTTATGGCTTCAATCTAGTCTTGTGCAGGTGTGCCAATTCTTCATTTAGACATGCAGTAAGGGTAGAAAGTACAAGCTCATTGGTCACAAAATAGAGAAAGCATTCTTAATCAAATTGAAGTTTGCCTTGCATATAATGTCCTCTATTGTGATGCTCACATGTGACAGATGGCACAAAATATGCCAAACTGTGCAAAAAAGTGCTGACAACAAACGCTGACAATCATCTATGGTACAAAGTGTTTGTCAACTTTTACAACACAGCACTTTTTGCAACTTTTTGGTTATTTGTCATGTGAGAGCATTAGAGTGTAAAAATGCAACTTCTACCTGATCGTTTTTCTTTTTTCTCTAAGAACGGCATCGGTCTCCTCAAAATATTTGCAGACAAAGCAAGACTCTGCAGCTCTACTGCTGTAGAGTGACATTAGATGATGATGTAAAATCTACAATGGTTCCTTCAACTAGCTGGTGGTCACCGCTGCTGTTGACATGTTTCAAATATAAACCTCATCCCACTGAGGCAGGGTGAAGTGTCAAGCAGAAAAAAGATGGTAAGCGCTTTGTTGGTTGTTCAAATTTTCTAGCAACTCAGCTTGTTCATAGCAACCACAAGGGCCACACCAGTAGAGGAGCTAATTTTACTGGTGTCTGACCTCTTAATTATATAACATATCTTTACCGGTCAACAAATGCATTAAAAAACATAATCTAAAGCAACTAAAGTTGGGTTCCTTGTTAGCGACAAGAAACAGTGTTTATATATTTGTAAGTTACCTGTCTGATTAGCCAACATAAACCCAACATAAGCTGGGCTCCAATTGATGTGCGCCACAGGGGTAGTGCTGAACTATCTCTCAGTCAACATGTGGCAACATCCAACATCACAGGGTGGCAGAATTAGTAGTAAGTGTCGGCTGTGTGCAAGCACCATTAAAAATTATTTTATTTATGATCCTTCTTCAGATCCAGAGGTTTGGTTTAAACCCATTTCTATGGATGTCAGTCAGTGGCATTTAAAGCAAACCTTACTTAGAGCATTCACTAATTCAAGCAGATAAACCTCCCTATCTGCTTCAGTGGGAATACAGTAAATGTAGGCTGTCATTTAGTCCAATTTCAAGCTGACAGTTTTTCATGTCACAATGTTTTACTTCTTCTCTGTTTATTGGCTTTCTATGTATTGGATCAAAAAAGTAGCCTTTGGGCAAATAGATCTAATTTTAATGGCTAATGAGTGTTATAAACGTCAACATGAATATCTTGTAACCAGGCCTGATTAGCTATTAGGATGAAAAATAAAATGTAGTTTGGTCTATGTTTGCCTCTTGACTTGTTTTCCTTTCAAAATATATATGTCGTATTACATTAAAGTCTAATGATAAGAGGGTACATGTTTACCTGCTGTGAATTAATAATGAATTGTCTTAGTGTCAGTCTTGCTCTCTTCTCTTCTACCTCTGTCTTTCATCCTCTTTGACAGTGAGAGGCAGAATTTCCAAAAGGTAAAGAAAATAGTTTGAAGATGTTTGTTTTGTAAATGTATCTTGTAAAATGTAGCTTTTATTGTCCTCGGGCATGCTATTGGGCAGTCTTGGCTATAGTAGACTTGCATACATACGTTGCAGTGGGAAACCTGTATTGACATATGGCCTACTTTACATAATACTCAAACCCACAGGAGTACTGCTGTGGGTGCATGGGCACATCAAAACGCCACTCACATATTCACTGCAAATTAGTCTCCAAATCCATATAAGCCGCTGATAGCTGGGAAGAAATGCAGTAATCAATGACGGAGGTTTTCTTTAACTCTCTAGTTATTTATGTGTGCTGACATCAATCAGCATGGTGTCTCTGCTCCTACCCAGCAAGTTCTAGAGAGGGAGGAAGTGCTTTCTTTAGATTATTTATTATCACCAAGCTGGTGTGTGTTCATTATCTATCATTATCAAAATGCTGTTAAAAGAGATGATGTTACCACATTTTCTTCAAATTTCTCCCCTACCCAATATATTATATCAGAGAGAAAGTGACACACGGTGCAGCACCCTGCTGTTTACTGCAGGTAACTGTGCGTAAGGGCAATTAATTAATCCATAATTTAAATTATGCCTTGTTATATTAAAATGAATTCACAGTTAACTTGTGTTGTCTCCAGGTTTGTGTTAAGCCTATCCAAACTCTTTTCCAGGAAGCCTAATCTACTCAGTTTTATGTACTGTGTATGCACTGTACTGTGCTTTACTCAAATTATGTTAAACTGAGACTCAACGGTAGAGTTTAAAATAACTAAAAAGGTTTCTACAGCAGCAGTTTTTGCTGATCTCTTAATGTGCTGCAAAAATCCTGCTGTAAGTGCATGTAAATCATGAGAGGTGCTAGAATAAATTAAATGCCTGTCTGATGCCCACCAGTTACCTGTCAGTATTGCTGTCCTAGTCACTCAGATTTGTAAAACTTGTGGTTTTGGCTTTCATTATAATCCTTGTAATCTTCAACTACATTTACAGATCAAGAGGCTTTTGCAATAGTGTCATATCATTTTGTTTATCCCACAACCATGTTGTAAATTCACAGATTGTAGTCTGACACAGACCGTCTACTCAGAATAGTTCGCTTTTGACATAAAGAAGTCTTTCTTTCACATAACCAGCGACAAAAAGAGTAGGATGTGGCCCAGTGATTGTGACATGTTGGCTAATATTTTATCATCTATGCGGCTACCTCGAAGGCTTTAACAGTGGTGAGAGTTTGTAAGCCTTTGGGGTGAGAAGGAAATGGACCAAGGATTTTCTTTTAGTGATAAGGCTGACTGCGCTGGGCTGTGAGAGTGCTTCAGTAACTAATTATTTGAAGCCTCCTCTCAGATTAGGGTAGACATGCAGAGCTTATGGACAGTCGCATAGCAGACAATCAGACCATGTAATAACCAGAGGGCCAATATTTGCTCAAATCCACTGTAACACCTCACAAAACAAAAGTCTGTAAAGCCCTAATGCTCAGTCCAATCCCACGCCACAGTGCCTTGATAAACACCGACGCCACCCCCACAATGGGCGCCATCTTTACTCTGGCAATTAGGCAGAGCTTTGGATTATCACTTCCTCAGCCCAGCACACCACAAATCCACCCGGATTCAATTATTCCCCTCCCATGTCTGTGGCCATTTGGGATTTTTGGGCGCATGGCCAGTAGAGAAATGTTCTCCAGGATTTCAACTGCTGAAAGTTATAAAAAAAAAAGTTATAACAAAAAAAAAAAAAAAAAAAAAAAGAGTGCCCCTGCAAGTTTGATAAGTCTATTGAATAAAAATAAAATCTTGGGAGCTTACAAACACTGTCCTGGTAAATATTTTATGAGAACAATAAGCTAAATTTACTGTATTTTTCTCCTTCACAAACATGCCTCTTTTAGTTGGATTTTTTTTTTTAAATGCTCTGTGTTGTTTAAAAAACATGTTGCAGTACATCCTTCCCTCCAAGCAGCCCGTGTTTTGATCCACGCCTTGTGGGCCAGGAGTGTCTCTAGTGGGCTCTGAGTAAGAAACTAAAATGCTTACTGAAAGGATTTGATTTGCTCTGTCTTGCTGCACCTCAAAGGCATTATTTTTACTTATTAGACAGCTCACTCAGGATAAATTGTGTAAAAGATCAAGGGTTTCCAGGGGTCTGGAGACTCTCATCTTTCTACTTGAGGCCTCTCTTCGATGTGTTTGCTCAGATGCTTTTTTTCCCCTCCACCTGGTCTCTCCTTGTGGAGTGGAAAAAAAGCTGCTGTGTGTATTAGTGCACATATTACTCAGCACCCCCACTGTATGTGTCCCTATGTGTGTTTGCATATTCAGGCACAACTAAGAGTACATGAGTTTGTTGAAGTGGATGTTCTTTGCAGGTCTGAGATGAGAGACCCCCCCTTGGTTGTGTACAACCCCCACCTATCTGTTTCTTCTCTTGGGTGGCTAGTTTCCCTCCCAGCAAATCATTGCCGTGGCTGTCATCTCCTGCATTTTATGTGTGTGGTTTACAGCAGCCTGTCAGCTCCTAACACATTCTTCTGTGTGTCTCCTCTCTTTTATCTACAGATACCACAGTGTCATCACAAAAAGGTAAGACAGCACTCCATCAGTCACCTGTGGATCCCCATGAATTTTCAGATGGGTGGCATGTGGGTGTGTTGCTTTGTGTTTCTGAGCGTTCTAAATTTTTTGCTAATGAGATGAAAAACATTTCATGGTGTTGTTGATGTTGATTTGAAATTGAGTCATCTAGTGTTTCTGTTACAGAACAATCTGTTTGATTACAAAGTCAATCACTCACACCCACTGACACCTAGACTAAATTATCCTGCTATCCCGCAATGATAGACAGCCCACAGTCTGTGTTTATGCATGGCTTTCTGTAAGTCTCATGTTAAGACTAATCACAGTTCTGTTTAGACTCCTCCACACTTTCAAGTGTATGTTAATGTGAGATTGGGGGAGGTGATTGTTTTGCATAGTGGATCTTCGGGGAGAGACAGGAGATGTAGGAGGGGGAGATGCTTGTAGGAATGTACCTGTAGGCTTTTTTGATTTTGTAAGATGATGGGGCCACACAGTCAAACTGTCTAAACAGCTCCGGGGGTTTTGTTCTGAGTGGCAGCGTGCAGGTGTATGCACCGAGCAGTCCCAGCCCTCTATTCTTCATAGTGGAGATACAGTAATGGCAGAGGGTGTGTCACGCTCTGTGATTGCAAAGCAGGAGCAGACAATCAGTCGGGAGAACCCCCTGCTGATTTTGTTGAAACTTTCTTTGATTCCCTGCTGCGTTTATAAGAACTTAGGTGTTGTTTTGCACAAGCTCTTACCAGAGCAGAACAGAACGCAGGTGAAAATATTTTCATTGTCACCTGGATCTGATATAATGTGCACAACATGTATATTTGAAAAACCTAAACAGCAGGAGTGTGTCTTTGGGAACGTGGTGACATTTTTCACCTTACAGAGCTTCAGATCTATTGAAGCTGCTTGTAGATGCAGCGCAAGCAGCATTGATGTAGTACATCTGTGTGACAGGTTACACTTAGTGTGCCCTCACCCCCCGCCACAGACAAACACACACACACACACACACACACACACACACACACACACACACACACACACACACACACACACACACAGTTGTGAGCCCTGTGTGTGTGATGACTATGCGGTGTGCGATATTGTCAGATGGGCCTATAAAGGTAAGTGATGTGGGCTGCCCGAGCCTCACTCTCTGATGAATGTTGAGGGGGAGCAGAGGCTGGCATGGTGTACATCATCCCTCCGCAGCCACACTCGCATACATTTCTGAATGAGAGGGAGATAAGTCAGGCCACGTAATCCTGACAGAATGAATGCTTACTTTTGTTAGCCTCTGTCTATGTCCGACTTTTGTGTGTTTTTATGTCTTTCTTTTCTTGCCCATCGAATATGTCAAATTCAAATCCGTTTAGTCAGAAGCATCAACAAAAACATTCCTTGTCTCTTGGTCCCACACACTGAGAGCGCCACAGAGAAAAATAGCCCACCTTATTCATTCATACACTGTGAGTTATAGATGGCTACGCAGCTATGACAGTGCCATTGGTACTGAAGAGTCATGGGGCCTTGAGGCAAAGATACTGTACATAAACCATGTGTTTACGTTTGCACATCTCTGAAAAGACTGGCATGTAAGTGTGTGAGTATGCATATGTGTGTATGTTTTTGCGTGTTGCCTGAGCCTGAAAGATGGAGAAAGCAGGACATTTGTGCACACTGGCAATGTCAACTCCCCACAGTCTCAATTATGATAATATTCAACATGAGAGATGTGGGTCTCACATCTGTTCAAAGAGTACAATGCTGCAGTACATGTGTTAGACTGAAGGGCAGCACATAGTATTTAGGGCCAGGTAGTATTCGGGCTGTGGTTGAATAACCTTTACTGTTGTTCCTCACCAATATCATGATTAATACAGGACCTCATTATAATGTGACCTTATTCTTTAGTTCTCTACTTGTGTGGAACATCCCCACTATCTTCCCCCCCTACCATGACATCCTTTATCCAACACCTCTCCACCCCCTTACACTCCTCCTCCCTCTCCTCTGCCAAATGAAGTGTATTTATGGCACCTGTGCTGGAAAAACAGTCTCTAGGAGATGTCCCTCTAATTTCATTTTCAAAATGCCAGCAATAAATTTATCAAATGGGCTGAATCGAATCGGAGTCACACGCAGTGCCATCCGTCATGGGCTGTCCCTCAGGGGCCTGTGGGCGTACTTAAGCCAGCCAAAAACCTCTGCTGGCAGGAGAAAAATACTGAGTGTTGAGAGGGGAGGGGGGTCCTGGTAGGAGGGAAACCAGATGAATGTACTAGAGAAATATGCTGAGAACAAAGATGTGTGTGCATATCTTTATGTGCTTAGATGCATATGTGCAAGCATGAATTAGCTTATGCACGAGTGTGGATGCATATGTGTGCACAGAGGTCAATGCTAATTCTTCAACACATAGGAGCCTCACGTTGGAATCTCAGTAAAGCACTTTGTCTGTCAATGTGCCAGCGCAGTAATTGATTAATTGTAACACAGGTTAATTGATTGTTTTGCTCGTTTTTGCATTTGTAAATCCCTTTCAGTTCAAAAACCACTTTGAGCTTTATCCCCTCCCATGCCTCTGAAAACTCCAGGTTCACACGCTCTGTGCCCTCCCACTCCCCTCCCATTTCTCACTTTCTCATCCTCTGTACCTTACTTTGGCACCTTTGCCTCTTTCTTTAAATGCCTTTTTCCCCGCTTTCCATTTGTTTCACCCTTCTTTCCCTCTGCCTATCTTTCCTTCTCCTCACAGCATTTATCACTGTGCAGGTTAAGCCAGGCGTGAGTGAGGGTAAAGCAGCTTAGTACTAACAGGGCTAATGAAGTCAGGCCCTGTATTCCTCTGACGGGGATCAGTGGCGCTACTCTGTGAAGCCTGTCAGCGTTTAATGATTAGATGAAACATTCAGAGACCCGCGACGAGAAGACAGGCACACTGATATGTGGTAATACCCAACCGCAGTCTCTCATACGCAGATCCGCAAACATTTATGCATGTGCACGTACTCACTGCGCAGACAGATACAGTTCACAGTGCGCACACACACACACACACACACACACACACACACACACACTTCCACTCCTCCCAGTTTGCAACGGTGTTGATTTATGACTCAAACATGGCATCAAGGGTATACAGAGCAAAGTGATTGGAAGAAAAACAAATGACAGAGATATTCAGAGACGGCAATCTGGCTATTGATTCCTGCTATGTGCAGGAAGGTGGAGAAAAAAGTAAGCTGCATGAGAGAGATTTACCCATCGCCTTGATGAGCAGATTGTAAACAACTCTACATGCTCTATTCAGGATGCATACTGTGATCCATGATTTTTCACTGCCTCTTTATTCTGCTAAAAAAGCATGATAGAAGATCAATCAAAAGGCCAACATCTTAAAACCTTTTTGAACATTTCAAGATTCATCTCTGATTCTTTCTAAATTCGATTAAATCATATTATCCTTCTCTTCCCACACGCATGGCAGCTTAATGTGTGCTTGTGCTGGGGGGTGTGTTGTTAGTATGTCAGTTAAGTGTGTCAGTGTTAAAGTAGGAGGGTGTTTGTTTGTGTGTTTAAATGCTAAAACTGAGAAATGGAGTGACAGAGGCAGTGGTTGGGTCAACAAGCTGCCTGTTTGTCAGAGTGAAAGGGTGCCTACGAGGGCTTGGTTGATTTTTGCCCCATTAGCCACACATGCTAATTTACTTGTCAACTTACAATCTACACAAGGAAACTACACTCACTTTCTCTAGCCCCGTCCTCTCTGAATCTCTAAATCTTCAGATCCCTCCCTCATACATTTTTTTTCAGTATCTTGCTTCAATGCTAAATTGGAAACATATTCTGTCCTTACACCAGTAATTTCTTCCTCAAGTGAAAGTACCTGTTTAGCTCAATGTTGAGGAATCTTAAGACACAGGATTTGAATTAAATGTATGGGTATTTCTGCCAATTTGTGCCAATGTGGAGCTGCTGCTCCCGGGCTCTCGTGTATCTTTTGGTTTGCTAAGCTCCCTAAAAGTACTTGGAGAAACTACTTGAAAGTATAGTTTTACAAGGAAGCACTTTCTTCACATCCAAGTAGTTGAATTACATCAAAGCTACCAAGAAGAGAAGTAGACTAATAGCTAGTTAGTTAGTAGTTGGTTGCGTAATGCATTGCCTTACACTATCAGCTAAATTTACCACATAGGGTTAAAAATATTATGTCTCATGTATAATATAATGTGTTGAATTCCATACAAATGTTTGTGAGTTCTAATGATTGATGTATCCGTTGTAACTGATCATGGTTAAGGAATGTTATCTCATGCCTCAGGCTGCTGAGAACTTTTAGTCTATTACTTTACCTTCAACTTGATGGTTTTGTAACTTTAATAATTAGCTGAAGGCTACTTCTGACAATATAGCACAGACTTACAAAGAGCACATCCAAATAAGAATAAGGATATCTTTAACCTCAATATAAAATTTAATTTAAGCCGAGTGCAGAAACTTCACTGCTGCTTCATTTTGGCCGTCTAAAAGAACTCATCATTATTTAACAAGGCATTTATAGAGTTTCAAAATGTGTAACTGATAATCACAATGTAGTAATCCTCTTGTGATCTTTTTAGCTATTAACAGCCTCGTAAATTCAGCTTCAAAAAGCCTTTCTGACACCATGGCCACTCAGTGTGATGAGTTGCACTGTTGCTCAGAGATACAATAATAAACATTAATCGGACTTCTAGCTAGGGTGTGAATAATGATGTGTGAGAGACTTTGTCTTGGCTCATCAAAAAAGTAATGCAATTATAACACCATCGTGCTCCCTTGATCCTGTGGAGGTGTTCAGTGGATGAGGTGGTGGAAGCTGTAGTCATTACTCGAATGCTACTATTGCAAAACCAACTTCTGAACCTCTGAAGTTCTTTACAAGTGTTAAAAAAACATTTTACAACTATTATCATTTACCAGTGTTAGTAGAGAGTAAAAGTAGTGCGCAGTAGCGACAA